GTGGACAAACAGAGGCTGATCTACCAGGGGAGAGTCCTGCAGGATGAGAGGACGCTGACAGATTACAGTACGTCATGGAGGACTTTACTTGCATTGACTTGAATCTTAAGCCACCTCTGGCTGAAGAGTTGTCACTGCTCTCTCTTTTTAAATACTCACAAATAAGGTGATTTAAATAAGCTATTGCTTTGATGTGATGTTTTGTTAGGACTCACCAGCTGGACTTTTGTATTGTAGAGCGGTGAGCAGTTCTGATCAATAACGCAGTTAATAGGAAAAGATTTCCTGTCAGCCAGAGGGGAAGTCATATAGCTAGTTAAAAACAGCATTTCTCTTCTATAAAAACACACATCTGATCTTTGAAATGCCCTTTTCCTTCGGTCTGTTTTAGGATGTCCAGATCCAGCTTTTTTCACTTCCGATACCGATCCCGGCCTATCAGAGCATGTATTAAAGTTTAAAGTTATTTATCTACTTACTTAGTTGTCAGACTCATGTTGAGCAGGGATTTACTCTGATAACAACTTAATGGTTTCGCATTTATGTTGAAAACATTTGTCTTTTTGAAAATAGTGCGTCTTAATTATTAATTCAGATGAAATTAACTTTTAGTAATACACTCTGCCACTCACCTGTTTTTTTCTTAAACTCAAAATTCCAAAATATAACTCAAGAAAGGGTCAAAATAACTCTAAAGTAATTGATTCCGATGTCTAGCTTTTTAATCATTCAGCTTTTTGCACTTCTGTATTAAAGTTATTTATTCTACTTACTTAGTTGTCAGACTCATGTTGAACAGGGATTTACTCTGATAACAACTTAATGGTTAGGACACAGACCTGTGAGTTAGCAGATGCTAATGCTAATGTGGGATCGAAAACTTGGGATACCGATCCCGGCCTATCGGAGCACGTTTGAAAGTTTAAAGTTATTTATCTACTTACTTAGTTGTCAGACTCATGTTGAACAGGGATTTACTCTAACAACTTAATGGTTAGGATTCAGACCTGTGGGTTAGTAGATGCTAATGCTTATGTGGGATCAGACTTAAACAAAAACTGTATGAGGAGTCTGGATCTGCATTTTCTCCTTCCGGCCGATCCGATCCAGATATCGGATCAGGACCAGCCTATTCTGTTTGCTGCCATTTGCCTCTTAAACCCGAACGTGTTTCCTGATGTGGTTCCAGATGTGGGTGGGAAGGTCATCCACCTGGTGGAGCGGGCCCCCCCGCCCCCCTCCCAGCCGGGCTCCGGGTCGGGGGGCTCCTCGGCCGACAGCGGGCCGTCCTCCTCCTCCCCTGGAGCCCCGCAACCGCCTCCCCACGACCGAAACGCCAACAGCTACGTGATGCTGGGCACCTTCAACCTGCCCGTCAACATCATGGACCCCCAGCAGATTCAGGTGGGTCCGCTCAGGCCCGGGACTCCCTCAGGCCCTCTGTGTTGACCTAAAGGTGGATCTAATGCTACAGAGAAAGAAAAAGAGAGAAAAGAGAGTCTGTGGACACAGACAGAGACTTAAACACAAAATACAGTAATAAAACGAAATAAAACAATCAGTAATTAGCATAGATCATGTGATAGCATACTATGCTAAAGTGAGTCATTATAGCCAAATTCTAACAAGAGTTTGACCACTGTTATGGTTATTAAGCTTCACAGTTAAAGGTTTAAAGAAGATCTCGACTTATTTAGCAGCTGAAATGTAGTTTTTTATTTATTTTTATTCTTTAAGTTACCTCTGGGCATGAACAGGCCAGGTCCTAATTCATGCAGATGACAGGAATGTGGTAACAAATGGTTTGTGTTGACCTAAAGGTGGATCTAATGCAGCAGAGAAAGAAAAGAGATTCTGTGACCACAGCCAGAGACTTCAACACAAAATGTAGTGCCATTCTCTAATTCAACTCAATTCAATTTTATTTATATAGCTCCACATCACAACAACAGTTGTCTCACAGCTTTCCAAACAGAGCAGGTCAGACCTACTCTGAAGTTAACTACAGAAACCCAACAATTCCCACCATGAGCAAGCACTAGGCGACACAGGCAAGGAAAAACTTCCTTTTAACAGGCAGAAACCTCGAGCAGAACCATGGCTCAGGGTGGGGGGGGCATCTGCCTGCCTCTAATGCATTTTTAATTATTTTCCAGAAATCAAAGAAAGTTAAAAGAGAAAAACACCCTGTGATGATGATCAGCCATCAGCCCAGAGTTCACCTTTCGTTAATGCCACTGTATGGATGTGACTGGTGTCAAGATAGGCTGCAATTGTACCTAAAAATCACAGTTTCTGACCAGTAAATTCCTGGTTTTCATGTCATAATATGAGACACACGGCCTGTTCTGGAGCTCAGATGCAGAGAGCCTCTCCGGGGGGTTAGTGGTTGTTCTCTGCTCAATGGGACTCCTACATTTAAACTCATGTTTACAGCCCAGACCTCTGCTCATCCACTCACGATGAGCCTTTATTTTAGCTATTCATGGCTGAGCCCACTAAACACAGAGAGAGCAGACTCACTCTCTAAATTACTTTAATCATTAAGAGGTGAGAATACCATAAAAAAAGAATCAAAACAAAGGAAAAAGCATTTAGATGTGGACAATTAAGTTAAACTCCAAACAAAATTCTGTGGATCTGATCAGAAAAGTCTTTTGAGCTAAGTTCCAGAAACAATTGGACTCCTAATCCGAAATTAAATTAGCTTAATTTAATTTGTTTTGGATCCTCTCTGCCGATTTTTTTATTGTTTGTTAGCATCCATAAGATGTGCACATATTATTTTGTGTCACACCCACCACTATCACACATTTAAGCTCTAATTCCACCAGATTTGAATATCACATCAGAGTCTGTCGGCTGGTTATAGATTTGTTTCACCACAACGTTTAACTCAATAAAATCACCTGCATAGTCATTAATCGTCTCTGTTTGAAAGCGTCCAGAAAGCTGAAAATAACCTGACCTACTTTCCTTACGAAACTGCTGATATCCTGAAAACAAACTGGGCTCTGAGAGCTTGTGATCAGCTCTGATCAGTCCGTGTTTGGGGTTTTAAAGTGTGAAGCGGAGCGACTGTCACCGGCTGGTGTCTGTCTCTGAGAGTCTTTGTTTTCCAGGAGAGAGGCCAGAAGGAAACGAGATTCAGGAAAATGTTTTCACCCCTATTATCTCTAAAAGAACCATGGACCTCTCCCTGGATAAAGCTCTCATCCTGTAGTTTTTTTTTATGCCCCATTAAAAGCTAAAGCCCCCTAGACTGATGATGTCACAGTTTAAGGGTCCAATCAGAGCTGAGGAGTCAGAGGAATGATGCAGCTCTGATCTGAAGCCTCTCAGAGTTCAGAGAACAGAAACAAGTCCAGCTAAAAGATCCTGTTAGTTTAAAGTCCTCCAGGAAAACAGTTAGTCCACAACAAGTCTGACACCCAGATAAAACTGATAAAAAAAGAGCAGAAAATGATCAGGAATGGACACACCATTACAAAAACGTTGAAGAGAAGAGCAGAAAAAGGGAAAAAACTCATTAAAAAAGTCAAAAGTAGACACAAAACTGAAAGAGGGTCCAGTAAAAGACCAGAAAAACGATAAGAAATGGACTAAAAACTCCAATAATTAGATAGAAAACCAGCTAAATATTGAGCAGAAGATCAAAAGGAGGGAAAAACTGATCAGAAAAAGACAGAAAATTGCAATAAAGAGCAGAAACTCACACAAAACTTTGAGAATGGACACACAATTACCAAAATCTGGAGCTAAAGACCAAAAAATGGGACAAACCTAACAGAAAACGACAAAAATTGAACAGAAAACATAAATAAATCTGCTCTGAAGCCTCGCAGAGTTCAGAGAACTAAAAGCTCCTGTTGGTTTCAAGGCTCCAGTTAAAGTCCTCCAGGAAAACAGTTAGTCCACAACAAGTCTGACACCCAGAGACTCACAAAGTCCAGTTGAGGATAAAGAGATGACAAGAGAACACAGAAAACTGATGAAACAGAGCAGAAAATGACCAGAAACAGACACAAAAAATACAGCAATGGACACGAAATGACCAAAAGGTGGAGCAAAAGAGCAGAAAAGGAGAGAAAAACTGCTCAAAAAAGACAAAAGACAAAAGACAAGAAATAATAAAATAAATAAATAAAAAGTCTAGAAACTGACTGCAACTGATGAAAAAGAGCAGCTAAACAGCAAAAAAAGACAAAATGACCAATATCTGGAAATTTAAGAGTGGAGAACAGGACAAACTGATCCAAAAATGCAAGAAAAAAAAGACACAGAACTGAAAAAAGGTCGATACTGAGGCTGCAGAATAAAAGCAGAAAAAAAGGCCAGAAAACAACCAGAAACAGAAAATAAACTTCCAGAATGGAAACAAAATGTGGAGAAAAAGAGCAGAAAAAGATATTAAAAAAAAAAAAAAGACCAAACCTTAAAGGGTCCACAAGAGGAACAAGTTTACAGACTCTGAGGCGGTTTTAGGAGGAAACTGGATGTATTA